GTTTAGGCACATTTAAAGGTAGATAAAAACAATTTAAATTAATTGATAAGAAAAGCTTTGTTTTGGTTAATAAATTAAATATATAAATAAAACAAAAACGAAACTGTTTTCTATTAAAAACAACTACTGACTAGAAGCTGTTTTCCAAATTTGATTGTCACTGAAATGTTGTAGAGAACAACATAATTATCTTAATTGATCTGAGGAATGACAAATTTCTACTAGAATTTAAGCAATAAAAATAGAAAAAATAGTAATAAAACTATATGTTAAGAGAGTAATAAAATAGAAAAAATATTCAATACTTAACAGCGAACAGCGGTAATAGGAAATTAAACACAATAAGATTTTGATTTTCTATACTTTAGAACCAAAAAAATGAAAGTATAATAAGTTTGTTTAAAGGTTTGTAACATTGCCTATACAGCATTCCTTATAGGGTCAAAGATTTCAGCTTGTATTGTGTTACAAATCAAAAGACTTAGAACACAAACTTGGTCATTAAAATCTTCAAACCATACAAATTACTGCCATTCTTTGTCTTATTATTCTCTTCAGCATAAAAAAACATCAAAAATCTATTAAACAATTTGAAACTGCCATAAAAAAACAAAAGAATTACAAAAACATAAACAAATAATTTCAAAGATATTAAAATTTTTAAAAGCAAAAACTCCAAAAAGCAAAAAAAACAAGCGGACAACAAAAATTTTATTACAATTTCAGAGTCAAGACCAAAATTCAAAACAAAACCTACAAAAAAACTGCAACAATTACCAAACTCTGCACATAACTAAAACTACTAACACTCAGACACACATTTTAACCAAAAAATAACAAAAACAAAAATAACTACAGGCCTAAACAGACAACAAGAAAACCAAACCAAACAACAAGTACTCTAACAGAGACACTGCAACATGTTTGAAAAACAAAACAAAAAACCGGCAAAAATATTAAACATACAAATAACTAAAATAATAATAGTTGTAGTTGTTGTTGCTATTTCTATTGCTGTTGCAGTATTTTTCAGTTACCTCTACCTTGACTCTGAAAGTCTTTTGTATCTTTTTTTCTTTATTTTCTTCTTCATACTCTAAGGCTCAATCTACTTGTAGAGCAATATCAACAAACAAGTACACACAAGGTAAAAATTAAAACAACAACAACTAACAGAATATCAAAAAAAAAAAAAACACGAAGAAACTTATACAAAGCCGAGTCTTAAGATAAAAACGAATGAAAATAAACAGCGAAAAAAAACTGCATGAGAAACGTTATAAATAAATATTTGAAGAGTCCAGAGTATTTTACTCGCTGAGCTGGAGAGCAAGTGTTCTGTGTACTCTCACCTTTTGTTGGAAGTTTTTACACAAATACCTGTTATTTATGCTCTTGCGAAGTTATCATGTGCATGAAAAAAATATATATGATGTTAGACTAGCTAAGAGAGCGAGAGCAGGATGGGAAGGACTTTTGTGTACTCTAGTCTTTTCTGGAGACTCGGGTGATAAAGAACTGAATTAGAACTGAAACTGAACTAGAACTGAACTAGAACTGAACTGGAACTGAACTAGAACTAAACTAAAACTGAACTAAAACTGAACTAAAACTGAACTAGAACTGAACTAGAACTGAACCAGAACTGAACTAGAACTGAACTAGAACTGAACTAGAACTGAACTAGAACTGAACTAGAACTGAACTAGAACTGAACTAGAACTGAACTAGAACTGAACTAGAACTGAACTAGAACTGAACTAGAACTGAACTGAACTAGAACTGAACTAGAACTGAACTAGAACTGAACTAGAACTGAACTAGAACTGAACTAGAACTGAACTAGAACTGAACTAGAACTGAACTAGAACTGAACTAGAACTGAACTAGAACTGAACTAGAACTGAACTAGAACTGAACTAGAACTGAACTAGAACTGAACTAGAACTGAACTAGAACTGAACTAGAACTGAACTAGAACTGAACTAGAACTGAACTAGAACTAAACTAGAACTGAACTAGAACTGAACTAGAACTGAACTAGAACTAAACTAAAACTGAACTAAAACTGAACTAAAACTGAACTAGAACTGAACTAGAACTGAACTAGAGCTGAACTAGAACTGAACTAGAACTGAACTTGAACTGAACTAGAACTAAACTAGAACTGAATTAGAACTGAACTAGAACTGAACTGAACTAGAACTGAACTTGAACTAGAACTGAACTTGAACTAGAACTGAACTTGAACTAGAACTGAACTTGAACTAGAACTGAACTTGAACTTGAACTTGAACTAGAACTGAACTAGAACTGAACTAGAACTGAACTAGAACTGAACTAGAACTGAACTAGAACTGAACTAGAACTGAACTAGAACTGAACTAGAACTGAACTAGAACTGAACTAGAACTGAACTAGAACTGAACTAGAACTGAACTAGAACTGAACTAGAACTGAACTAGAACTGAACTAGAACTGAACTAGAACTGAACTAGAACTGAACTAGAACTGAACTAGAACTGAACTAGAACTGAACTAGAACTGAACTAGAACTGAACTAGAACTGAACTAGAACTGAACTAGAACTGAACTAGAACTGAACTAGAACTAGAACTAGAACTGAACTAGAACTGAACTAGAACTGAACTAGAACTGAACTAGAACTGAACTAGAACTGAACTAGAACTGAACTAGAACTGAACTAGAACTGAACTAGAACTGAACTAGAACTGAACTAGAACTGAAATAGAACTGAACTAGAACTGAACTAGAACTGAACTAGAACTGAACTAGAACTGAACTAGAACTGAACTAGAACTGAACTAGAACTGAACTAGAACTGAACTAGAACTGAACTAGAACTGAACTAGAACTGAACTAGAACTGAACTAGAACTGAACTAGAACTGAACTAGAACTGAACTAGAACTGAACTAGAACTGAACTAGAACTGAACTAGAACTGAACTAGAACTGAACTAGAACTGAACTAGAACTGAACTAGAACTGAACTAGAACTGAACTAGAACTGAACTAGAACTGAACTAGAACTGAACTAGAACTGAACTAAACTGAACTAGAACTGAACTAGAACTGAACTAGAACTGAACTAGAACTGAACTAGAACTGAACTAGAACTGAACTAGAACTGAACTAGAACTGAACTAGAACTGAACTAGAACTGAACTAGAACTGAACTAGAACTGAACTAGAACTGAACTAGAACTGAACTAGAACTGAACTAGAACTGAACTAGAACTGAACTAGAACTGAACTAGAACTGAACTAGAACTGAACTAGAACTGAACTAGAACTGAACTAGAACTGAACTACGAACAGAACTGAACTAGAACTGAACTAGAACTGAACTAGAACTGAACTAGAACTGAACTAGAACTGAACTAGAACTGAACTAGAACTGAACTAGAACTGAACTAGAACTGAACTAGAACTGAACTAGAACTGAACTAGAACTGAACTAGAACTGAACTAGAACTGAACTAGAACTGAACTAGAACTGAACTAGAACTGAACTAGAACTGAACTAGAACTGAACTAGAACTGAACTAGAACTGAACTAGAACTGAACTAGAACTGAACTAGAACTGAACTAGAACTGAACTAGAACTGAACTAGAACTGAACTAGAACTGAACTAGAACTGAACTAGAACTGAACTAGACTGAACTAGAACTGAACTAGAACTGAACTAGAACTGAACTAGAACTGAACTAGAACTGAACTAGAACTGAACTAGAACTGAACTAGAACTGAACTAGAACTGAACTAGAACTGAACTAGAACTGAACTAGAACTGAACTAGAACTGAACTAGAACTGAACTAGAACTGAACTAGAACTGAACTAGAACTTAACTAGAACTGAACTAGAACTGAACTAGAAATGAACTAGAAATGAACTAGAACTGAACTAGAACTGATCTAGAACTGAACTAGAACATAACTAACCACAACTTAACTAAAATTTAAACTATAGAGTTAAACTATAAATGTATTGAAACTGAACTACAGCTGAACTTCAACTACAACTGAATTACAAGTGAAGTATAACTGAGCTGGAACTTACAAAAGCATTTTCAGTTCGCCCTCGTAACAAAGCAAACAAACAGCAGGTAAAACCGTTGCTTTGCAGAAACAACAAAAAAGAAAGACTTTAAAAGAAAGAAAAAAGTACCCCACCGAACAAAATGTAAGTTAGTAAGCAAAAGCAGCCAAACAATCAAGCAGAAAGCGAATTAAAAACGAACTGAAATTGAAATACTCGAACAACAACAAAAACTACAGCTAGATGAGCAAATACACTAACACATATTTACAGGAAAAAAAAACATTTACTCATCACTTAAAGTGATCACACAGATACAACACACACTAACAACAACCACACAGCAAGACTAAAATAAAGGGGGCTTGGAGGTTTACGGCCAAAATGTACATGAGTAATTTTGTATATGTGTATAAGTGATATTGGTGTAAAAGTATTTTTGTTGCTAACGTTTTATTATTGAGCGGCTCTTTAGTCATTCGTTATTAAACGTTACTCTGGAAAACAACGGTTTACGGTTGTTTTGTTAAAAAAATTACAGTGCCAACAACGTTTTGAGTATTTGTCGTTTGTTGTGGTGGACGTTGACGTTATTTCTAAGATCGGTTCCTTAGCTTCAAAAACACACACACACGCACGTACATATACTTTAATACAAAAGAAAATTTAAACGCAGCAACGGCACTCGTAAAAACCGCCTGGATATGACTAGACTATAGACCGTTTCAATTAGTAAGAGATGAACCATCATAGAGGATACACGCGTTTTTCTTTTACAAAACATTTAAAGAATCTATAGCAAAGAAATTAAAGCAAATTTTATACAAAAAGAAATTATGAAATAAGAATTTTTTGTAAAAAAAAGAAGAAATATTTATAGAAAAAAATTGTTAAAAAGCAAAATTTAAACACAAATAAAAATTTAAAAAAACAAAAATGTAAAGAATTTTTTTATAAAATGAAACTAAAATAAACAAAATATTGAAAATTTTGAAAATTGTAAAGAAAATTTTAAGAAATTTGGAAAAAATTTAAACAATTTAGACAAGTGTTCAAAGTTGAGAAAACAACAACAAACAGTAATTTAGCATTTTAACACACCAAGGATTAGTGTTTTGTGCTAAAACTGTTTTAGAAAAAAGTGGAATTAAGAATTCGGAAAAGTGGAAAAAAGTGTTTCTTGAAAAAAAAAAAATCACTTTAAAAGAAATTATATTTAAATGTCTAACTAAAAACAAAGTAACAAAAAAGCAAACCCCTTTACCCCTTAACTTAAAGAAATTTGAAAATTTTGAATGAATTAAACTTATAACACAAAAATGCCTAAAATATTTTTAATCAAAAATCGTCTGCATCAGCAGCAACAACGTTTATTGGAATCACAAAATCTATTACAACATAAAAACGATGATGATCGTTTGGTACCACCACTCAGTCCCTCCGAACGTCATCAGAATAATGCATCACATTCACCCACACCATCACCCTATCGTCCAGCCTCACCACCAGCAACACAACCACCACGTTCACCTGAACCACAGGATTTTAGTAATGAAAGTCCCTCCTCAAGCCTTAATAACACTTCAGATTCTTTAAAGGCTTTACACATACACCAGCATCATCAATCCCGCTCACGTTCACATTCACCTTATGATAAAGTTCTTAATTTAAATAAGAATGATCAGCAGCAATCGGTGGCTGAGGTGGAAGAGGTGGAAGATGTTGAGGATCAACAGCAGCAACAGCCCTTAAGTTTGGTCTCAAGTCTTACGTATTTGGGCCGTAAACGTTTTCATCAATATCATCAGCAATTGTTGCAAAATCGTAATTTGAAAAAATTGGAAAATGAACAGCAACAGCCACAAGAACAAACAGAACAACAAGAGAATTTGGATAAGGAAAAGGAAGAGTCAGAAGAAGGTGAGTAGTGAAGATCATGTTTCGTTTTTCATAAATATCTCTAGGAAAATGGTAATAGAACAAAATTTAATTCAGAAAAAGCTAACTATTTTATATTTATATAAAATTAGGGAAATTTCCTCTAGAACCATTGAAAGTTTAGTTTTAATTTCTGGGAAATTTTGTCGCAATCATCATTATTTCATAATTTCTAGAAATTTAGAGTATCTTCCATAATAATACTTCGCCTAGAAAATGTGTTATAATAGAAACAGCAAAATGTTGCAGTATTTTGGAAAAATTTTAAATTTTGAAAAATTTGTTTTAAAGAAAAAAGTATTTTCTAACATTTAAGATTTTCCATCAATCTTAAATTATAATTGCTTTAAGCAATAGTTTTCTTAAGAAAAATATCGTTTTATTTTAGATTTTTTTTTAAAAAAAGTTTGTTTCTTAAGTCTTTTGTTTTAACAAAATTTTATACCAACTTGTGAAATAAACAGCGGAAACAAATTCAATCACAAAATGATTACAATTGAAAATAAACATTTCAATATTTTTGTTAAATTTTCAAAAATTTTTAAAAATTTTCTAAAATTTAAAAAAAATGTAAATTTTCAATATTTTTTTTTTATTTTTTAAAGAAAATTCAAATTTCCTAGAAATTTTGCACAAAATTTCTTATTTTTTTGTAGTTGGTTTTTTAAAGAAGTTTCTTGCTTAAGTCTTTTATTTTAAACTGTAAATGAAATAGACAAAAAGTGGAAATTTCAATTTTTTTATAACTTTTAAAATTTTTCTAATATTGTTGTTAATTTTTTATTAACGTTCAAAAATGTTGAAAATTTTTTCAAAATTTTGTTAAAATTTTCAAAATTTTTAAAAATTTTTTGAAATAAAAATATTTCAATATTTTAAAAATTTAAACTTTAATTCAAACTTTTTCTTAAATTTTTTGGAATTTTTTCAAAAAATTTCTTGTTTGAATTTTTGTTCTATTTGTTGAACATTTTTTAAATTTTTTCAAAATTTTTTTAAAATTTTCAAAACTTTTAGAAATTTTTTGAAATAAAAATATTTCAATATTTTAAAAATTTTAACTTTATTTCAAACTTTTTCTTAAATTTTTTGGAATTTTTTCAAAAAATTTCTTGTTTGAATTTTTGTTCTAGTTGTTGAACATTTTGTTAAAAGAACAAGTTTGTTGCCTAAGTCTTTTGTTTTATGTACTCAAATCAATAGTTTCATCATGTCTCCTTTTCATTTCTTCTCAAATTTATTGAAATTTTTGAAAAGTTTTTAAATTTTTCAACAAATTTTCTTAATTTCAACATAAAAATTTGTTTCAAAAACAAAAGACTTAAGAAACAAACATTTTCTTTTAATAAAATATTCGAAACAAATAGAAAAAAACTAAAAAAAAATTTAAATAAATTTAAATTTAAAAACTATTTATTTGTCGAAATTGTTGGAAAAATATAATTTATTTAAAATTTTTAAGAATTAATAGTTTTTAAATTTATTTTTTTTTTTAGTTTTTTGCAAATTTGTTAAAACAAGTTTGTTGTTTAAGTCTTTTGTTTTAATTTTCTCAAATTTAACGTTTTCTAATATCTCTTTAATCTTTACTTCCTCTTAGTTTACTAATAAAATTTTGAAATATTTTTTAAAATTTTTAAACAATTTTATTTAAAAACTTTTTTTTTCAAATTTGGTTAAAAGAAGTCTTTTGTTTTAACTTCTTTAACACTTATTTTAAAAAATTTTTAATTTTCTCTAAAAAAAGTTTTCTGCTTAAATCTTTTGTTTTATTTGCTCAAATTTAAAAGTTTTCTAATCTCTTTTAATTCTTTACTTCCTCTTAGTTTTCTAATAATCGTTAAGTTCCTAAAGCTGCATTTTCAATAAATGTTAAACGCTGTTTATCGATAAACTTCCTAAACTTAATTAAATTATTAATAAATCTAGCATAAAATTAAAAATTTCACACCATTTAAACTCCCAACCAACACTTTCTTTCAGAATTTCTTTAACAAAAATATTTATGAATGAAAATTTTTTATCAAAAATTCCCCAAAAACCCTGCTGTTGAATAAATTAGTATAAACATTAAGAAAGTAAATGCCTACAACATAAAAACAAACTTTCTTTATCATGTTTCTTTTACATATTAATAGAAAGATTCTTAGCTTTGGTCCCAAATAAATTAATCTCTAGCGTAACTCAGCAGGCTAAAAATTAAAGCTTATAAATATTTAAACATTTTATTAGTTTTAAACTCTGTTTGTTGTCTTAACCGACACTAATGCGTAACTCAGAATACAGCTGGAATATTTTAATTGACGACCTTTAAACAAAGATCATTTTATAGGAAAATTATGTAATCATAAAAAAGTTAAAAATTATGTAAATAAATGAAACAACAAATTTATTTAAAAGTAAAAGAAGATAATTTCCAAATCGAAAGAATATAAGAAATATGAATGAATTTTGGGTTAGAAAATAGAGAATATTGTTAACTGTTATTAGTTATGTTTAAAAAAGTTTAAAAATAAAACGTATTATCTAGATAGACAAATTCTGTTAGAATAGCTGTCATTTAAAGGAACTAAATTAGTCAAAAAATGTTGCTTATATAACTGTCAGTTTAAGAAATGAAAATAACAATCTTAAAAGCTTTTTTATTTTATATATTCTTTGTTGGCTTAATGAAAGTGATTGATGTTTTATTTGCTTAAAATTTCAAATATAATTTTGCTTAGAATCTTTGTAGCAAATTTAAAATTGCGCTTTTTGGCTAACTACGTAGTTTTTTGTATAAACGCCCACCTTAAGTATAATATCAAAAGATTTTTATTATATTTATTTTATTCATGTTGTTAGACGTTTGTTTTCTACCTAAGTGTACTTTTTTATCTGGGGTTATTTAGTATTAAGCCATGTTTAATTAATTTAATAAACACATTACAAATGTTTTAGTTTTTTATGCCAGACCACACCCCCTTTTGATTGAGAATTATTGAGAAAAAAAACTACTTCTGTATTTATGACAAACATTTACAGTAGAAAACAAAATATTACGAACCAGAACTGAACTAGAACTGAACTAGAACTGAACTAGAACTGAACTAGAACTGAACTAGAACTGAACTAGAACTGAACTAGAACTGAACTAGAACTGAACTAGAACTGAACTAGAACTGAACTAGAACTGAACTAGAACTGAACTAGAACTGAACTAGAACTGAACTAGAACTGAACTAGAACTGAACTAGAACTGAACTAGAACTGAACTAGAACTGAACTAGAACTGAACTAGAACTGAACTAGAACTGAACTAGAACTGAACTAGAACTGAACTAGAACTGAACTAGAACTGAACTAGAACTGAACTAGAACTGAACTAGAACTGAACTAGAACTGAACTAGAACTGAACTAGAACTGAACTAGAACTGAACTAGAACTGAACTAGAACTGAACTAGAACTGAACTAGAACTGAACTAGAACTGAACTAGAACTGAACTAGAACTGAACTAGAACTGAACTAGAACTGAACTAGAACTGAACTAGAACTGAACTAGAACTGAACTAGAACTGAACTAGAACTGAACTAGAACTGAACTAGAACTGAACTAGAACTGAACTAGAACTAGAACTGAACTAGAACTGAACTAGAACTGAACTAGAACTGAACTAGAACTGAACTAGAACTGAACTAGAACTGAACTAGAATGAACTAGAACTGAACTCGAACTGAACTAGAACTGAACTAGAACTGAACTAGAACTGAACTAGAACTGAACTAGAACTGAACTAGAACTGAACTAGAACTGAACTAGAACTGAACTAGAACTGTGAACTCGAACTGAACTAGAACTGAACTAGAACTGAACTAGAACTGAACTAGAACTGAACTAGAACTGAACTAGAAACTGAACTAGAACTGACTAGAACTAGAACTGAACTAGAACTGAACTAGAACTGAACTAGAACTGAACTAGAACTTGAACTAGAACTGAACCAGAACTGAACTAGAACTGAACTAGAACTGAACTACGAACTGAACTACAACTGAACTACAACTGAACTACAACTGAACTACTAACTGAACTAGAACTGAACTAGAACTGAACTAGAACTGACTAGAACTGAACTAGAACTGAACTAGAACTGACTAGAACTGAACTAGAACTGAACTAGAACTGAACTAGAACTAGAACTAAACTAGAACTGAACTAGAACTGAACTACAATTGAACTACAACTGAACTACATCTAAACTACAAATGAACTACAACTTAACTTTGACTGAACTGTAATGACCACTCACGAACAATTCAGTTATTTTGGTTTTTCAATCCATATCGGTTTTGTTAGACACAGTAGCATTACCATATAATAGCTTCTTGTTATTTGAAATGTCCATTAATATTTTATATTTATATTAAAACAAAATCAATAATACAACTAATAAAACTTAAAAATGTATTTGTATTGCCAATAAACCCAACAACATTTATGTTCAGAAGAGAATAAAAAGTCTTAGTTAAGAAATATAGTAAACAAATCATTCGTCTTTCTAATGATTCCCTGTAGTTTATTCCAAACATTTGACTGGGTTTTAAACTTTTTGCATTTTGAATTAAAACTAGGTGTTTGTTTAAGGTTTTCATCATATAAATGTATTAACTAATTGCATATGTTTAAATTTTATTATTGAAATGAAACAATAACTTAATTTGCTAACTGCCAGCAAGACCAGTTGTTAGCTCTTTGTGGCAATTTCATACAAGGGAATTTTTATTTAAAACAAAATTGTAAAATAAAATAAGCTGGTCTAGACTAGAAATAATGGAAAAAATTATTAAATTTTATAATTGTTATTTAATATTTAGAAAATAAATTAAAAGTAATTAAAAAAATCTGGTCTTTGAACTGGAATTAATAAAAAGAATAAACAATTTGAAACAAAAATTTTAAATTAATATTTAAATTGTTTAAAATTTACAAAAATGTTTAA